ATATATATATATATATATATATATATATATATATATATATATATATATATGTCACATCTTCTATTTTACAAAGTCCTTTGCCCCAATCATAACATAAATGTGATCGTTAAAAGTCCTGTGAAGGAAAAGCTCAGGACCAGGTGGCTTCACTGGTGAATCTCCCAAACATTTAAAGAAGAATTAACATCAAACCTGAGTTCTCAAACTCTTTCAAAAAATTTTAAGAAGTATATACTTCCAACCTCTTTTCACAAGATCAAAGTTACCCTAACACCAACGCAAGATAAGGACATTAACAAGAAAAGAAAATTAAATATCCCTGATAAATACAGATGCAAAAATCCTCAACAAAATATTAGCAGACAGAATTCAACAGCACATTAAGAGGATCATACACCATGATCCAGTGGTATTTATCCCCAGGATATAAAAATGGTTCAACATATGCAAAACAAAATTTGATACACCACACTAATAGAATGAAGGATAAAACATCATATGATCATCTCAGTAGATACAAAAAAAAGGCATTTGACAAAATTCAACACTCTTTCATGATGAAAAACTTTCAACAAGTTAGTTATAGAAGGAACGCACCTCAACACAGTGAAGATCATGTATGACAAGCCCACAGCTAACAACATATTCAATGGTGAAAAGCTAAAAGCTTTTCCTCCAAGATCAGAAACAAGACAAGAATGCCCACTCTTGTCACTTCTATTCAACACAGTACTGAAAGTCCTAGCCAAAGCAATTAGATGAGAAAAGAAAAGAAAAGGCATCCAAATTGGAATAGAGAAGTAAGACTGTCTCTGTTTGCAGATAACATTATCTTATACATAGAAAACTCTAAAGAGTCCACTAAAATGCTATTAAAATTTAAAAATTCAGTGAAGTTGCAGGATACAAACATACAAAAATCAGCTGTGTTTCTATACACTAACAATGAAATAACTGAGAGAAATTAAGAAAGCAAGTGAATTTCAATAGCATCAAAAACATTAACATACACAGGAATAAATTTAACCAAGGAGGCAAAACATCTGCCCTCTGAAAACTATCAGACATTGATGAAAGAAACTAAAGAAGACACAAATAAATGTAAAGAGATCCTGTGTTTATGGAGTAGAAGAATTACTATTGTTAAAAAGTCCAAAAAAAAACACAAAAAAATTTTTTAATTTCATGCTACCTAAAATGCCTAAAATGATATACAGATTAATGCAATTCCTATCAAAATTCTACCACCATTTTTCACAGAAATATAAAAAACAATCCTAAAATTCATATGGAACTACAGAAGACTCCGAATAGCCAAACAATCCTGGAAAGGAAAAATAAAGCTGGAGGCATCACACTTCCTGATTTTGAACTAAATTACAAAGCTACAGCAGTCAAAACAATATGATACAGGCACAAAAACAGAGACATAGACCAATGAAACAGAATAGAGAGCCCAAAAATAAACGGTCAGCTAATATATGGTCAACTAATCTCTGGCACAGGCACCAAGAACACACAATGAGGAAAAGATAATCTCTTCAATAAATGCTCCTGGGAAATTTGAATATCCATATGCAAAACAGTGAAACTAGATCCTAACCTTACATCACACACAAAATTAACTTGAAATTGATTAAACACTTAAATGGAAGACCTGAAACCATAAAAACTGCCAGAAGAAAACATAAAGAAAAAGCTCTTTCTTGTCTTGGCAATGATTTCTTTGGATATGACACCAAAGCACAGGCCACAAAAGCAAAAATAAATAACTTAGGGCTACATAAAACAAAAAGTTTCTTCACAGCAAATGAAACAATTAACAAAATGGCAAGGCAATCTACAGAATGGGAAAAAATACTGGTAAGCCATATATCTGATAGAGAGTTAATGTCTAAAATATATTTATACATGCAACAAAATAGTCAAAAAGCAAAAAACCCGATTTAAAAATGGGCAGAGGGCCTGAATACACATTTTTATCAAAAAAGACATACAAATGGCCAACAGGTACATGAAAAGGGGCTCAACATCACTGATCATCAGGTAAATGCAAATCAAAACTACCATCAATGAGATTATCACCTCACACCTGTTAGGATGGCTACCAACAAAAATACAAGATAAACACTGGCAAGAAAGAAAAGGTGGAGAAGCAGGAACCCTTGTATATTATTGGTGGCAGTATAAATTGGTGCCATCACTATGAAAAACAGTATGGCGGGTCCTTAAGAAATTAAAAAGAGCTGCCACATGATCCAGCAATCCCACTTCTGGATTTATGTGAAGGATATATATTTTGTATATATCTGAAGGAAACAAAATTAGTGTCTTATAGAAATATCTGCACTCCCACACGCATAGCAGCATTATTCACAACAGCCAAGATATGGAAACAACCTAAATGCCCATCAGTGGGTGAATAAATAAAGACAATGTGTTATATATACTATATACAATGGAATATTATTCAACCATAAAAAGAAGGAAATCCCAACAGCTGCAACAACATGGATGAACCTAGGAGACGTTACACTAAGTGAAACAAGCCAGGAAGAAGACGACAAATACTACATGGAATCACTTATATATGGAATCTAAAAGGGAAAAAAGTGGAACTCACAGAGAGAGTATACTGGTGGTTGCCAGGGGCTGGGGGTGGGGGGAAATGCAGAGAGATTGGTCAAAGGGTACGAATTTCAGTTACAAGATACGTTCTGAAGATCTAAGGTATAGCATGATAACTACAGTTAATAACAGAGTATGTGTACTTTAACTGGGACTAATGATTCTACCAACATATTGAAAATAGACACATTTGGGAACAACAGGCAGAGAAGAAAAAGAGAAAGGCTGGAGGAGATAGGGAAACAGAGTGAGAGAGAGAAAAAATTGAGAAGTGTCTCCATCATAATTTAGGATCAATAATAGAAGATTACTTTTTCTGGTATTTTCCAGAGTTATCATGCACCTCTGTCTCTTCCCAGTGATTTGACAGATAAAGAAATGAACCAAAGGATTTCTGTGATAGTTTCTGCTTATAGTGTGTGAGATGGAAAAAAGGTTAGGATTTAGTTAAAGGATGAGTCAACTCTTAACTTCCTCAATTATGATCATATGCAAGTCATTTCACTTCTCTGATGCTAATTTTCTATAAGACAATGATGGTCAGAAAATCTTTTATGACTAGATTCTCATGGGATTCTTATGGAGATAAAATATTAATTCATGGTAACTTACTTGGAAATGGTACCTATGTAGTTATGTATGACTTTTGCAGGTGTGTATGTAATTATGTATTATATAAATTCGACTTATTAAAGATCTTTCTGTTAAAATTATGGGGCAAGTTAAATTTACCGCATTTAAAAATAATGGTGAAATACTGTCGAGAACAAAAATTGGGTATAAATCCATGATGGCTCATTTGCTGACCCAGATTACAAAGGAATTTGGCCAGTGAATGGGAATGTGGCGGGGTTATGATTACCAGATCTCTGTGGATGAAGCTGTTCCTCTCCAGGTACTCCATCCCTTCACACACATCTTGACACATGCTCAGCAGCACATCTCTACTAAAAAGGCCTTGTCTCTGCCGGAGGAAATTCAGAAGGCATCCCCTTTCCATGAACTCAGTAACAATGTAAATTGGTTTCTGCTGGGTGCACACTCCATAAAGCTGTACTAACTTCGGGTGTGTCAGTTTCCTGGGAGGGAAGTCATGCATACACAGAGTTACTGTAGGAAAAGAAACCACCACGGGTATTAGCTGGTGAGGGGCCACTTTTTAACACGAAAAGGGGAACCGGAAAAAACACAGAAACTTACATCATCACTTTAGCCTCTTCTATAAAGTCTTCCTCACACATGGCTCCTTCCCTAATAGCTTTGATTGCTACTTTGTACTGAGCTCTCCACTTGCCAAGCCTCACCACTCCAAACAGTCCACTCCCCAACTCCCTCATAAAGGTCAGCTCTGATGGGTTAATCTCCCATTTTTCTGTGAGATAGAGGGGGAAAGTGATAACATGTATTAAGGAGAACATAACATGAATCAGTGGGAAACAAAGAAACTATAACCAAGGTCAATCTCAAAGTCACATGATAATACCACTGCCAGTAAAACACAGAGCAGACTTGCAACCTGCATGTAAACTGTTAAAGGGTGGCTTTCCACTCGGGGGAGGATGTACCCCTTTCTAAGCTGTTACAATGCACACAAAGTGAACTGAAGGCAAGACGAAGCTGTGTAATAGGCTAATAATAACAAAGCTGGGAAGTCAAAGGTACTTAAAAAAACCCCAAACCTTCCTTTACCTCTCTTCCCCCATCAGGTTTCTTTCTTTTTCAAGTTGGAAAGAGTTTAACCTGTTTAAAAGGCTTCTACCAGAAGCAACGAAGACAATCAAGTTGGATGTCTCTATTAACTCCATCTTTACTTTCCTCTGAGTGGCCAGTAAGGCCGGTGTGAACCAGGAAAGGCTCTGATTTATTTTAGATGTAACAAGGTAATGCTTATTTTTCACTGACAGTTTTCTGTCCAATAATGAATAATGATGAAAACAGAAAATCTAGGGTTACGACAGCTATAAATATAATCATCCAACAACCCACACTATAAACTTTAAAATAGTAGTTACATTCTGTGGAATTCTACACATCTAAATTGACCTTGTGATAACGGGTTCTTTTGGAGGAGAATTAACCAGGCAACCACAAACGGAGTTACCGTAGCTGAATCCGGCAGTGGTGGGCGCCCTCTTCTCCTTCGCGCTCACTGGGTACCGCAGCCTCGTGACAAGTCCTAGACGTCAAAGGGAGCATTGCAGTTGAATTCACTCTTAATCATTCCTCGGGGAAAAGTGCTAAACTCGAAACTCACTTACAAAGTTCATCCATTTATTCACTTAGTGTTCATTCTCTGTGTGTACATACAGCACTGTGCTACACGCTAGCAGAAAAATTACCAGAAAAGAAGGCAGGAAGGAAGATGATCCTACTCTTGCTGAAACCAAGTCCATGTGCCTGATGCAAAGTGAGGCCAAACAAACTGAAACGTCGGAGTTCAGAGCAGAGAAAGGTTTACTGCAGGGCCAAGCAAGGCAAACGGGTAGCTTGTACTCAAAACACTCCCCAGTGGCTTACATGCAAGGGTTTTTAAAGACAGTGTGAGGGAGAGGGCCACAAGGTGTGTGATCAGTTGATGGACCTTCTTCTGATTGGCTGGTGGTGAGGTAACAGGGTAATATTTTGGGAATCTCAGTCATCAACCTTCTGACTCCAAACAGCCCAAGTTCTACCTGCTTGTGGCCACCATGTAGTCACCATCCTCCACCCGGGTGGGGAGCTTAGTTCCTGCAGAACAGCTCAAAGATACACATCAGACTGTCATCTGTGTCTCTTCTGGAGTCCTGTGACTCTAATTATTAACTGCTTGAGGCTGTTCTTTGGAACTTAAGGAAGGCCTAGGAAACTAAAGCCTTTTGTTTTTTAATAAACAAGAAACATGGAACGTGGAGGGGCTTTTGTATCCAATAAGGCCCCACAGAGTCCTGCTTGGTTTTGCTACTCTCTAAATTAACAATTTCATATTTTTATGAAACACAAAAAATTTTTAAAATATGTATCATTTTATTCATTCAACATTGTCTTTAAAAAATATATATGGTGTTTATCAGGCACCAAGCTAGCATACTGTCTTTGCAAACATTTTTAAAGACGTTAAAAGGTTTCCAACAGTTATTATCAATTATTATTTCATGTTCTTTTCTAGTATGAGATCTGAATTATGAAATGGAGTTACAGTAGTCTACTAAAAATTAAAGTGATTCACCTGACATAGCTCAGTAATCTTAGCATTAAAAACTTGGGCTCTACAATATTAACGACTGGGAATATCAGCTACTGGCAATCACTGAGGTACATCAAATCCTTCAAGTTAACTTGCTTACAGCACTAAATAAGAAATCCCAGGTACCTCTCCTATAAGCACCCACAGTACTCCGTATTTCCTCTATTAC